ATACCATTTACCTTTGCTATTTTCTTAACGCAAGATGTTAGTTCGATCTGTGCATGAAAAGTGAGGAGACCAGCCAAGCCAACGCATCGATTAACTAATTCAGGCTTAGCCCATTCTCAATCCAAACTTCCTTCCTGGAGTCAAATATTTAAAGAACAAGGCTATGTATATAGTTTAGTTAAAATACTTAATCAACATAATATTTTTAATTTATAGTTTTTAAAGTATATCTTTTATGTTTTACTCACATTAAGTAATTTGTAGGTAGATTTAGTCTTTGTTTGGGATTAGAGATATTATTTTTTGATATTAATCTCTCGATATCTAATAATCACATTGAATTCCAATTAGAGATTAGAGATATTATGAATATGAAGAAACTTTATCTATAATTAGTATTATTAAGGCCGTGAAGAATTTAAGAAGTTTGAATGGTTTGAGGACGACTCAATTTATTTTTTGGAATTAAAGGTGTTAAAATTGAGTATTTTTTAAACTTTTTAAGTGGTCTCAATTTTTAAATATTATATATATATAAAGATATGGTTGAGTGATTGTAACTAATATTTTGTTGAATAGTTTGAAAAATAAAAGTCTCACAACTAGAAAGAATAAGGAAATAAAGGGATTTATATATATTTACTCTCTATCTATAGACAATTATGGAAAGTTGAAACTTAGGGCCTGTGATTTTTGAGTTTAGATCTTGCCCCTTTATATATTATCACTAAGATTCAAATATAATTTCTGACAGCTGAAAGACACATTTTCATAATGAGGTCTTTCTATGAGAACATATCTCTTTGGTTGGTATCTTTTTAAATGAATATATCCCTTCAACTTGTGTCTATTCATCCAATATAAGTTCCCTAACAAGTTTATGTTTTACATTTAATCTTAAGAGAGTTTTTAAGTTTTGTTGTATTTTAAGGGATTTTGAATCCTTAAAAAAAGTGAAATCATATTTCGAAACTTATTCTTCTGTTACTTATTATCTTTTTCTAACATGTTTCAACAAAGAAAAGGCAAGAATGAGCCTAGTTAGACTTGTGTTTTTCAACTGGTGTTGAAAGCCCTTAAACTTTTCTTACTATTTGAGCTGTAGCATGGACTTGAGTTTGAGTTTTAAGTGCTTTAATTGGGCATTTTAAAGGGATTTATGTAGTCTTAATTTTATAACTATCTAAAAAAAAAAACATAGAAATGAAAAAGATTTACCAAAAAAGGAAAAAAGAGACAAGAGTAGCTCTTTAAATAGTATTTACTATGAAGTTTTAACCCTTTTAAAAAAAATTACTTTTTAAAAAAAATTTGATTTTATTTAAGTTAATTTTTAATTCAAAACTAATTGAATTTGTTTTTAAAACTCAAGATTAAAATTTGTCGAAATAGTCTTACCAAGTAAGTACTACTAAACTAACTCGGTTAATCTCTGAGACAGCTTGAAATCATTTCTCTACACTTTCTTTTTCCTACTTTTTTTTTTTTTTTTTTAAATGAAAGCAATTATTTCTCTTTTACGTTTTATTTGTTAAAGGATCGGGGAAAAGGATCATGCTTGGTTGGATTAGGCCTTCTATGATGTGCCAATAAAATGGCCCAATGACAAGAGGTCATTTTCTTGATGAACCAATAAAATGGCCGAAAGGGCTTTGTTTACAGTTAGCCCAATAGAATGGTCTATAAATCTCTCCCCTGCACCAGAACCGTCCGATTCTGGTCTAGAAATGTCTGATTCTGGACTAAAAATGTCCCCTTTTGTTCCTTTATTTTTTTAAAAAATTAAACAGTACTTAACCCTCAGACAAGCACATAATAAAATGAGCAATGCTAGGGGCACTCGCCTCCTGCACTCTCCGGCCAACACTTTCTCTTTTATTGGGCCACGTTATTTTGGTTTCCGGAGAGTTTCGCTGAAAGCTTTAAAGAAGCTTACGTGGTCCAATGAAAGGGGAAGTGTTGGCCGGAGAGTGCAAGAAGCGAGTGCCCGTAGCAGTGCTCTAATAAAATTGCAGAATGGAGAACAGGAATAGGGCAGAAGGGAGGATATGGTGGATGGTGAAGCAATGTTGAAAGTTATATTTTCATATCAATTTTTTTTTTTTACAAAAAAATTAAAGATTAACAAGTAATTTTTATATTTAACAAACTAGTTTTAAAGAGTTATTAATTATTATATCAATATTTTCTGTTGAATTTAATGGCAAAATTTACTAAAGAACTAGTGATTTATTTTTATAAATATTAAACATAAAAAAATAAATTAAAA